TACACGGACAAAACAATAATGATATTTTTAAATGCTTATAATTTGTAACAGAAGCCATTGGTTTATACCAACGGCTTCCCATACTTAATACTTCTCGTTTTCACTCTCGCGTGGTCATGTGTGACGTTTCGCTTCCAGTGTCTCATATGCACGAGTTTGTCGTTGCTTGGAAATCTTCCATGTAAACATAAACAGACTATCATTATTGTTTTGTCCGTGTATTGTTTAATATATTGAAATGTAATTGTCATCTTTGATAATGATGGCTTATGTAATCCCAAAGCTTAGACAGGAATAAAAAAAATATGTATCAATATTGTGATTTTCTTTCTTCTTTTAATGGTAATATTATTAAGCTTATCAGACGATATGAAAAAAATTTACATGAAATAAATAGACAAAACTTGTCTGTATATCATTTAATGAAACATGCATCAGTAAATATATATATATATAAATATATATATATATATATATATATATATATATATATATATATATATATAGAGAGAGAGAGAGAGAGAGAGAGATAGATAGATAGATAGATAGATAAATAGATAGATAGATAGATAGATAGATAGATAGATAGATATTGATGAAATTGTAAGACAAAATGGAAAAAGTTTATTAGTGACGCGTTTCATTTGTTAGAACTTCATCGGACTGGGTTTGTTGACGTTGTTTTGACTACACATGCGCTTGAACGAGAGACGCTGGTAGTTTTAGAATTTTTAAAAGAATTTTTTGAAATAGTTCTTTGCAATCTAGCCAAATTCATCTATATTCTTTTTATTTTTATTTCCATATATATACACATGTGTGTGTGTATTTTTAGGGTGTATAATAGTATCCGAAATAAATGTAAAGGTTATGGTGATGACTTTTTTAACCAACAGGATGAATAATTGCCTGGAAAGAAACAATACAGTTATTTATATGACTTGAAATAAAAGCATGCAAGATTTCTCAGCTCTAGTATCACCCCTTCATAGTCAGCCTATGAACATTTCACCAGACTCTAAACAAAAATAAAGACATCATTAATTACACTGTCCAAGAATGATTTTGCTACAAAAACAAATTTTCTAAAATATAAATTGTACAGGCTTTAACAAGAGGCATACATGACGAGGCAGACCTTTTCCCGAAGATGTTGCCATTTCTTTCTGCAGTAGACCAGTTGATATCCAAGGCCATAAAAGCTGGGCTGCTCTGCTATTTACCCATAGCAGGGGGGGATTCATATGTTTCCCAAGGGTATTATCACGTAAGTGAATGCAATGGATTCGACTGGAATTCGAACACGGCTCTCCGATTCCTCAATCCGAGCCGCTATCCATTACTCCACCGTGCCTTCTCTACCTACATAAATACAGTAGTAAAATACAGTAGGGGATTCGTCTGCAGCTGTGCTGATCAAACTCTCTGCACATGTAGCTCAACACATCGCAAACAACCAAAACAATATTAACATCAGGCAAATTTTAATAGATAACACCAAAATATTATATAGGGATCATTGCAAAGAAGGACTCTAAATTCGAGAAGCCATTATAATAGAAAACAACCAAAATTAAATAAATTATTTTTCTCCATAGGAAACCGTATACTGAAGGGTGTATAAAGAAAGGACGCATAATTACTTATCTTTTCAGTTTGACCGTTGCAGATGACATAAATTCTAATTCTAAAGATGACGTAAATTCTAATTCTAAAGATGACGTAAATTCTAATTCTAAAGATGACGTAAATTCTAATAACGCGATCTAAAAATGCCAAACTGATTACCCACAATTCTTGATAATCATTGAAGTAAAATGTAGCCGAATGTATAAAAACAAACTTTGAACATTTTAACAATGTTAATCTTGATGCAAAACAATTTAGTCGGAATTTGGAAAGACAAATAAATAATTTAAACGCTAATTGTCGACTCCGAGTATTGCAAAAATAATTCGGGGGCGTGTTAAATTAGTCAAATCTATTAACAGATAAAAGAGAATTTATTCCTGCGAAACGTTTATTAGTTTATTTACGGCTAATGCATTTTTCTAAATATTGAGCTCTTTATTTCTAAAACCTGCTTGCCTTAAATGCGTTATCATCAACTAATACACTTGTCGACTTTTACTTTTCAAAAGTAACTATATATATATATATATATATATATATATATATATATATATATATATATATATATATATATATATATGATAACGATACATAATTTTGCATAATTTTATATATCAACCAAAGATATTTAGAAAAATGGTATGAAAAATTGCGAAAAGTTTTTGTGACGCGTTTCCAATATGTCATACTATATATATATATATATATATGTGTGTGTGTGTGTGTGTGTGTGTGTGTGCGCGTGTGTGTGTGTGTGTGCGTGTGCTTTTGTGTTTGTGTGTGTGAGTGCGTCTGTGTGTGTGTGAGTGTGCGTCTGTGTGAGTATGCGTCTGTGTGTGTGTGCCTGTGTGCTTGAATGCAATCTTCTGATCCTGAAGATTGCCTGAAACAGGAAGTCGCCACTCGGTTTTGTCTTTGTTTATGTATTTAGGCAACAATCGTTCATTTATGCACATTTCATTAAAAACGCCATACAAGTTACTACGATTAAGCTTTATATTTAATTTTGCTTCTGTTCGGATAAGTGTTTTCTTTTCTTTTGTTTTTTGTTTTTTTCGTAGTTAATGAAAAAAAGAAAAAGCCAACACTTAATAATATTAACTCCGAACACGGCCACAACGTGCTGTGTGCTGTGTTCGGAAAATAAAACATCTCTGTAACACTAAAAACATACACACAACGCACACACCTAATTATATTGTAAAAATTACATCATTCTTGATAATGGCTAAAAGCATAACTGAAAGCGCTCGGAATTATAGAATATTTGAGCAGTTTCTACACACTTTGTGTCCAAAAAAGAAAACACCTGTTCTAACACAACAAAAATTATATAAAATACTTAATCGTAGTATCTTGTCTATCGTTTTTAATGAAATATATATATATATATATATATATATATATATATATATATATATATATGCATATATATATATATATATATATATATATATATATATATATATATATATATATATATAAAGCTTTTGTTAGGGCCAGAAATAAAGACACAAGAGAGAAACTGAGTTAAACAAATATATTAACAGAAACAGTAATACAAACATAAACAAACAAGAGTGTTACAGCAAGAATGTTCGGTCCGACTGTCAGAGCTCACTGTTGGAAACTCCCTCTCCTAAAGGCAGTACCTGCTCCTATTTATAGCTGGGAGAGTCCATGCGTGCGTGGGTAAATTACCATAACAATATATATATATATATATATATATATATATATATATATAAACATTTTGTATGTCTGCGCATAGGAGAAAAGAGAAATAGTGAAAAATACATTATCTTATCTCAGATATATACACATAATGGTATTTATATTTATATATATTTATATGCACCATTACATGGTTGATATGAGGTGTGCAGAAATGCATGTATGTGTAGAAATACGTAGATATGTGTGTGTGTGCGTACGCGCGTGTGAATATTTGTTGTACTAAGCCAACCCTCGTTCAATCACAAATTTGTGGAACCCCCAGTGAGGCTCGAACTCCCAAGTTATTATTGTTTCACAGCAGGCGCTGGTGTATTTGTGTCCGCTTCAGTACCAATCAAACATTGATGCCCTCGGTGTTGTTCACACTCAGAAACAATACTTCTGCATACATTATTAATGGCTAAAAGCAATAAAAGATAGATAGGCAGATATTTACCTAGAGAGACAACGAAAAAAAAAACAGGCATTTGAACAGAGGACAATTAATTGTCACACCCACATACATACATTTATAAAGAAAACCACATATGGACTGTGTCATTTCTATTGATTGTTTATTCGTTCTTTTGCCCATCGTTGTGTATTGGGTTTTTTCATCCGTGAAAAAAGTATTGTTATTAGTCATGGTGAAAAAGTGATTGCAGTTGAAGTGCTGTAGTGTTGAGTGTTGTCACGGAACGATGATAAGAAAGAAAGAAAGAAAGAAAGAAAGAAAGAAAGAAAGAACATGTTAAATAAAAACTAAAGTAAAAATGGATGAAGAAGTGCAGAACGGGAAAAGAATGAAAGATACCAATTATAAGTAATAAAATTATATATATATATATATATATATATATATATATATATATATATATATATATATATATATATATATATATATATATATATATATATATATATATATATATATATATATATATATATATATACATATATATATATATATATATATATATATATATATATATATATATATATAAGTATATATATATTTATAAGTAATAAAATCTAAACATGCCATTAAATATAACGTTTTTCTGGCGAAAAAAAAAAAGTTTGCATAAAGAAAAGAAAAAAAAAAATGCAAGATGAAAAGGAAAATATAGATGAGGAGATAACATAATCAAGGTAGAAAAATATAACGTTTTTGGGCTATAAAGAAAGAAAGAAAGAAAGAAAGAAAGAAAGAAAGAAAGAAGAGATGAGCTAGAAGAACAATGTAAAGTGAAGATTGCGAAAAGAAAGCGTTAGAAAAAAGAAAACAAGCTGGAATAAAGAAATAAAATCGTTCAAAATATGAAAGTAACATATCGAGAAGTGTTGATCGGGATAGAGGAAAATGCACATAAAATGCTAAAAGAAAGAAAGAAAGATGTGTAGAAGAAAAGGACGAATTAAAAAACTACAAAAACCGAACTCCGAAATGAAAGTAAAAACGAAACAAAGAAAGAAGAAACTAAAAAGAAACAATGAAATGACGAAAAATATTAAAGATTCGAACTGTAAAATGAAGTGTAAAAAGGAAAAATAGTGAAAAGTCGAAAGAAATGGATGAGGAAGTGTAGACAGAAAAACATTAAAGATGAAGTGTAGAAGAAGAGAAAAAAATAAAAGATAAAAAAGGAATATTAAAGAAAGAAAGAAAGAAAGAAAGAAAGAAAGAAAGAAAGAAAGACATTGAAGAGGAATTGTAAAAGAAATGAATGAATAAAAGGAAGATAAAAGAAGTGACACTGAGAAGAAAGAAAGAAAGAAAGAAAGAAAGAAAGAAAGAAAGAAAGAAAGAAAGACATTGAAGAGGTATTGTTGATTGAATGAATAAAGGAAAGATAAAAGAATAGACACTGCAAAGAAAGAAAGAAAGAAAGAAAGAAAGAAAGAAAGAAAGAAAGAAAGAAAGAAAGGAAAAAGAAAGAAAGGAAGAAAGAAAGAATGAGTGAAAAAGAAAACTTATGTAAGATTATGTGAGTGAATGAATTAGTGAAGGATATAATGGAAGCATAAAACTTGATGAATACATAGAGTGGTAAGGAATGATTGATATATGGGTTTGATTTTGTTAGGGGATGCGTGAATGGATGTATTCCGGGGAAAGAAGAGAAATAAAAAAATAAAACTGAGAACCAGCAAACGGTGATATTGAGTGAGTGTTCAGCGTCCAATAAAACAGGCATGGATTGGATGCGATGTTTGAGTGAGGTTGCAGATTGTCGGGTGACTGGTTGTCGCTCGTGGGTGCCGAGGAGCTTAGCAGACAAGTTAGGATAGCCTGCCCCGTTCCGGCACGCGTCAGTGACAGCGGAAGCTGCCAGACAAAACCTGGGTTTACGGTTCAACGTCATCACACAGCCGGAATCTGGGCGCGTGCGCTGGACCAGCGCCGATGACAGGGTCGGTCATTAATCATGCGACAACGAGAAAAAAATTGCCAATGTTTATCGTTCTGATTTGTTATAAAATGATTGGAAAACACTGCGTCGAACACAAAAGCTGATCTTCGCCTTCTTTTTGATTGGTGTACTCTTTTTTTTTTTATCTTTGTTCAACTATTTTTTTATGTATCGAGAGAGAAAGAGGAACAGAGACAAAGAGAGAGAGAGAGAGAAAGAGAAAAAAGAGAGAGAAAGAGAGAGAGGAAAGAAAATAGTGTGAAAGAGAGAAAAAAGAGATAGAGGATTATGGAGGCTCATTCTTCTATATATCCCTCTCACTCTTTCTCTCTCTCTCTCCCCAACTCTCTCTTCTACCATCTTTCTCTCTTTCTCTCTCTCTCCCCAACTCTCTCTTCTACCATCTTTCTCTCTTTCTCCCTTCTTTGATTCCCTATTCTCATTATTTTTCAGTCTCTTTGAATACTCCTTTCTAGTTTTGTTTCTCCATCTATCTCACATTATTTTTCTTTCCATCTCTCTCTGTCTCTCTCTCTCTCTCTGTCTCTCTCTGTCTCTCTCTCTCTCTCTCTGTCTCTGTCTCTCTCTAACACACACACACATTCACATACACTCCTTCCCCGGTCTGTTGAACAGGAGTAGAGGTTTATCCCTTGTTTCCTGTTTAGGACTGTGTTTCCGATTCCTTCTCCAAAACTCTTCTCATTATATTTCACTCACAGTAACCCCTTACGTCTTAGTGGCATTATCGCCTTGCTTGGGGCGAAATAATTAAAGAAAAATCTATCTATTCCATATTCTCGCCTAAAGTATATTTAAGAGCCATCTTAAATTTAAAAATTCTGGAAAACTAACAAAATTTAACTTTTGTTTTTAAATAATTGTTGCAAAATTAAATCCTTACATTTGCCTTGATAAAACCCATCAGAGTGTGAAACTTTTGTCTCTATTCATATCTCTCTATCTATATATATGTGTGTGTGTGAGTGAGTGTTTGTGTATAGATAGATAGATAGATAGATAGATAGATAGATAGATAGATATAAGTAGAGATATATAGATAGATATTTATTTGATTAAAAACTAGCGTATGTTTCATTCTTGATTTTTTTTTTTTTCATTCACTTTTTCAATAGTTTTAATAACTTTTTTTTGTGGTTCTAGATGGTACTGGTAAATAAAATTGCCTATCCCTTGTATACATGTGTATATCCCTTGTATATAAAATACGTAAATATGGGAAATTTTATATACTAATATCAACCAGGAATAAAATAAAAAAAATTAGTAGAAATACTGGAAAAGTAAATAAAAAAAAATAATCAACAAAGAAACTTTTATTGCTTTTTAATAAAACGTGCATAAATGAGAACATGCTGCCCAAATATACCCAACATATCTATCTATATATATATATATATATATGTGTGTGTGTGTGTGTGTGTGTGTGTGCGTGCGTGTCTTTGTGTGCGTGTCTTTGTGTGTGAAGTATATTTGGGCAGCTTCTTTTTTACTTTTATATGTCGTGTTCCTTCAGATGTGATCTATCACTTCTCTCCACTGCCTTTTAATGCTTCTAATAACTTTTGCACTTTACCATCCTTTTTTAACCTTGTTCTACCATTATTCCACATAGACCCGAAAATAGTTAACTTACTGTATCACCATGCGTTTTCTTGTCGTCAATGTCCTTTGCGTACATTATTCTCAAGGTCTTCTTTTCTTATTATCTATACCAGAAATTACAACTGTTTCATTCCGATTGTAAGTATCCTTGTAGTTCCTATTTCCCCTTAAACAGTTTACGGCCGTATCAGGTTAAAACACCTGTTCCCATACGATCACCGAAGTTTAGCAACGGTCAGTACCTAGAGGAGTGATTGCTTGGGAATAACAGGTGCTGTAAGACTGGATGTGCAGAAGGTGTAATAGATAATAGCTAGGAATTGTTAATAGGAAAGCCGAGTTCCAACTCAATTTGAGTTCATTATATTTACTTACGCGCAAATACCATTGGGAAAGGTATGAATACGTTTCTACTCCCGCCAGCTATGGGTTAATTAGTTATATCACTAAATCTTTATTATCTCAAAAAAATTTACAATCTAAAAATATTTTCTGGCTTTAGTAACCTGCAAAGGGTTGATAAGGCGTAGAAAAAAATTCAATAAATCTTAAACTTCCTCGTTCATCACATGCTGCGTCTATGGTATTCTCAGCATGCTTTGGTAAAAGAATCTCTCTGTCGCTTCAAGTCTCTTCTTTATCTGTGAAATAGTTCTCCAGTATTCACTCCCATTTAGAAAGTTAGATATTACACAGTAGTTCAGAATTTACACTATTTACATTATTCGGAATATTGTCCTCATCTTTATTGACACATTCACGGCTTTTCAGTCGTTGTACGGCCCGAGCTTCTTCCGGTGATAATTGTTGGAATTTCCAACCGAAACCAGAAGAAGGCTGGAGCGAACAACGGCCGAATCGGCGTGAGTATGGCAATAAAGACGAGAACAACAGTCCGAACAATGTGAATAGTGTAAATAGTTAAAATACCTCATCTCAGAAATATAGACTGATGTTAGTTCAGTATTAATTTCATTATTTATAACAAATATTTTTTCTTTCACTTAATACTTTGCTTAATTTCTGGAAGACGTCTTTCTTTATTCCTATATTCTTTCGGGTTTTACTGTCACATTTTCTGTCATCTTTTATTACACTATCTACGTAGATAAGCCTGCTTGATTTTGCCATCCACAAAACGTAGTTCATGTCTTGGGGTGTCTTTTTCCTGACAAGGTTAATTGTCCTTCCATCTCGCCATCCTTTACAAACGTATGTAAGATTTGTCTTCTGAGTCTGTTATTAACGCAATGTAAGCCATCGTATGATGTTAAGATTATTTCTGCCGATAATAAATCATAATAAGCATTCTACTTCGACTATGACCGCAACACTAAATTTGTTCATTATGGTAAATAAGGCCCAAGAGCCACTCAAGATAGAAGGTTACTAAATAACGTTGTTGCAAATGTGTACAAGGAGGAAGCCAAAGGTGCATGTTATGATAATATTTGACCCTGGACGTAAAAAGGTTATATTATAGTAACCGGGAAGCATCATCTCGGGAGTCGGTTTTATAATTCTTATAGGGAAGACGCTGTTGAAGTGGAACTTCCTCTTTACCAATGGAATATGATGGGTATGACTCACTGCCATGACATGGCGGGTGAATGTCTGAGCTAGCAGAACCAAAAATGTGGCGCATCTGAACATGAAAATTACGATAGTGTAGCGAGAGACATCGTCAGTGCTAAACGGATCGTAGGGTGGAAAATAGTTCGTGCAAACGCTTCCAAACTCTTTCAAGACTGGAAAGTGAAGATTGGAAAGTTCCAGCCCAGATGTGGTCGCAATACTCCATTTATAGTCTGATTTAGATCTCGTAAAGATAATCTCTCCATCTTTTAAGTTCTTGTTTTCTCTTTCTCCTTTCACTGTTCAGACATTTTTCCTTTATTTCAACTCTTATTTTCTCTCTCTCTCTCTCTCTCTCTCTCTCTCTCTCTCTCTCTCTCTCTCTCTGCATATTTCCTTTCCTTAAGTTTTCTTCATCATTCTTCTTATTTCTCACCTTGTCCTTCCACTGTTCACATTTTCTATCTCTTTCTTTATCTCTTTCTATCTCTCGCTCGCTCAGCCTACTCCCTCTTTTATTCTTTCTGTCGCCTTCATCTCTGGTTTCTTTCTTTAATCTCCTTACCTATTTCTCCTTTCACTTCTCACGCTTTCGTTCTCCTTCTTTGTCTCTCACTCACTCACTCACTCACTCACTCTCTCAGCTTTTTATTATTCTCTCTTTCTTCTCCATCAGTCGTCTTCTTTCTTTGCTTTTCCCTATTCCTTTGTTGTTCAGCTTTCTTCTTGTATCAATGATACTTTTTATCGATTCTTTATCGACACGGAAGCATCAAGTTCAAAGTTTTATCGTGAAGGATCGATATCACCATTATCTGATCATTACCAACCACCGCCGGCATCAACCACAGTAACCGTGAGTAGCGAATAATAACAGCAGGACGAGGTAAAGACTGTGGGTTAAACGAAAAGCAAAGGTTTCAAGTTAAGGACCTTCTGAAAAAACATAAGAAGTCAGGTTAATTATGGTCACTCCCTTACACTTTAAGGATACATGTCATTACTCCCTAAACCTGGAATGTGGATCAGTTCACCTAGTTAAGGGAAATGTCGTCAAATTTAAAGATCTTTAAAATTCAATCGACCTGCTAATCATTATTATCTTTCTGAATTGTTTTGATCTGGGTTCAAAACAGATCTTTTGATTTCGGTTCGAACTAATGTTTTGAACTGATTTTGAACTGATTTTGAACTAATGTTTTGATGTAAGTTCAAAGTAATGCGATCTGGGTTCGAACTTATATTTTGATGAGGGTTCGAACTAATGTTTTGATCGAGGTTCGAACTAATGTTTTGATCTAGGTTCGAACTAATGTTTTGCTCTGGGTCCGAACTAATGTTTTGATCTAGGTTCGAAGTAATGTTTTGATCTGGATTTAAACTAATGTCTGAATCAGGGTTCGATCTGATGTTTTGATATGTGCTCTAACTAATCTTGATCTGAGTCTGACGTAATTTTTTTTTTATCAGGGTCCGAACTGAATTTTGCTGTGATGTAGAACTGATGTTTTGACCTGGGTTCGAACTAATGTTTTAATCTGGATTCGAACTAGTGTTTTGAATATTCCTCTGTTCATCCATAGCGATCTCTTTGATCTCCCTCAAAATCATAGATTCTACGATCCCATGCCACATTTAAATGTGAACTTCATAATTTTCTCAATTCTACTATAGTATATACTTCGGCATACTCATTGTATGGCGGTTTTAAATTCAGAATTATTCTTCACCTAGACAAATTGCTAACCAAA